GAAATGTAATTAAATTATAAAAGTTTTAGATCAATCAATTTCCACTGGTTCTTTACAGCTAATTTAAGACTTAATTATCCAAATTATATTAGTACAAATTAATTGTTTATACTATAAATAAACGATAATTTCTCATGAAATTTTTATCAAGAAAAATGAGTCGCGATGTCTAAATGAGTAAATGAGCTACAAATATGTAAAAAAAGCATACGATTAGAAAAAATTCGATAATTCTGGAATACCTTATATGTGTGCGTGTGTGTGTGCGTGTGTATGTGCGTGCGTGCGTGTGTGCGTGCGCGTGCGTGTGTGCGTGTGTGTGTGCGTGCTGCGTGCATGTGTGTGCGCGTGCGCATGCGTGCATGTGTGTGTGTGTGTGTGTGTGTGTGTTTTATAAAAATAAACAATGATTTTATCAAATACGCGCTCGTATAACTTATGACATCTTGATTAATCACTCTAATTATTGAAGTGACGATTGTTAGAGTCAAAAACGAGAACAAATTAAAACAAAGTTTGTAACGTCTATCGTAGCGTTACATCGGGAAAACCATAAGCAGAGACGTAACATCGGACAAAAACGTGAGCAATAAGCAGAGATGGTAACCGGAGTCATTCTTGATCCGTCACGTCGCGCGGTCTCGCCTCATTTCTATCCTATATTGGTATTTCCGTGGTATTCGTATTCCTGAAAAAAGAAGGAAGAAAATATCTAATGGGGAATGGAGCCGAAACATCCTGTATAGCTTTCCTCGCGACGAATAATTGGCGAAGCTTGGATGGGGAGCACGCGCCCGTTGTACTCTCATGAATTTCATGTTCCACCCGTCACGCCTCTGCTCGCCCCGTTCCGGCCAAAAATTGCCGGAAGCGGAGGCACGCGAACAGGAGAATGCAAATGCTACGGCGACTTTAATAGCACGGATTATAAAACAGATCCGAACACACCCGGATCCGCCCGCGCCCGCGCGTGTGTAACGCTGCGCTTGAAAATTTAAATCCGCTCCATGGATCCATATAATTCCATTATGCCTGCATTTGTAGGAAGGGTGAGGTTGTTTTTACCAAGACTCGGTACGACGCGTGTTTGAGCTGACAAAAGAATCTTTAATCTTTTATTACGTGTACAAAAATGATTGGAACTTGATGTTAAATTCTTTTAGTTTAACTTACGATATTCTCAGTTCATCCTTGAGCGAAATATGCATATATATAAGAAATTTTTATTTGCTAAGAAATGACAAATATCGCTCTATAATGAATTATGTATTCATCACAATATTAACATAACTGTTAGTATTATAGTTACCTTTTTTATCTTCAAGATTATGTATATCAATATTACATGACGACATGTAAAAGGAATAGAAATGTAAAAATTATTTGAAAACAGGAATATTAAACAATACACACCTTATAAGTGCAAAATATTCCTAGAATGGATATTATTAAAAAATTAAAATTAGTCATTATAATATTTTGAGAATATTAATATTTTTTGATATTATGGGAATATTCTATAGAGGTTATAGTATTCTATAGAGGTGTCCACTAATAATATTGTATATAATCCTTAATTAGGATCATACAATGATCTTAATGATTATACAATGATTAATAACCTTCCATTAATATTTCGAGAATATTATAATTTAATATTATAATTTTAGTACAATATTCTTAAAATGTTACATTTAATATTCTAAGAAAGAATATGCCTAAAATATTACTTAATATTAAATAATATTAAATAATATTAAATTATGCGCTTATAGGGTATTATGTAATAATCTTTTAACTCTTAATATAAGACTGTCAAAAAATAAAAACGACTATAAGTTTGAAACTTTTAATATTTCATTTATTTTTCAATGAATTGGTATTTTTGCGTTTTCCACAATTTTAGAAACGCCTAGAAAGCAGTCGCGTGCAACATTACATTAGTTGGTTCGTCAACTTATTACTCGATTTAAAAGGAGAAATAAGTATACTAAGAACATTTAACAGCAATTCCAAGTGAATAAACGTGACCGAATAAAAAGAAATGAACGCATATCGTTAACGCGGTTGTTGTATAATGAAGCTCGTTTATTGCCGACAGGAACGTCGTTCTATATACTCTGACGTAATTGTTCCGCCGAATCTATCTCTGCTCCCGCCATTATTTTCAACCGATAATTATCTGATCCGGACGGTGATATTCTTAACAACAAAGTACAGCGCGACAGGTATCGTCGTCGTTGCACGTCGGCTCGCTCCGGTTTCACGAAAAAGTAAACTGGATTCAGAATAGAACCTGATACCGAACCCGTTCGATATTCTCCCTCATTCTCGAACCGACTCAATTAACTCGGCCGAACGTGCGAACGTGAACGAATGCGGAAAGCAGCAAGCAAAGTGTGCGCGATAGCTAATGAGATTTAAAGATTAATCGCTCTGAGACTTATTGGCTGAAATTTCATTCAGTTTAATACCAAGGTAATCAAAATCTCTCGCTATTCATGTGGAATTGTCTACTTTAAATTGCTACTACCTGACCGGATAACGGTGAACCTGCACTCTTAATAGTTTGAATGAATTGATGAGACTCATTGTAAAAGGAGATACGATTGTAAAGTATTGTCCCTTCAAGATTTCCACATGCTGTCAAAGTTGTCATAAAGAGACAATCCAACGTCTTAAATGAGAAACTTTGTGTCAGCCATCCACTATTTCTGCAGTCCTTGACAATAATCTGAGTTGACAAGGTTTTAAGAACGATAAGGAATTATAATAGAAACTTTCTTTTGTCCCGAAAAAGGATTTCTACAAAAGAGATATTTAGAAGATTCAAGACGGCAGAGGATAATTGAATCAAATGGAAATTAGTTCACTGAATATAATTAGTTTCGGTATGAATTTTATGCTCTCTTCTTCACGAGTACTAGAAATGGCAAAAACTTCGGCGGTCACCCGATGTGTTCCCACTTACGTCGCGAATAATAATGCTGTCCGTATAATCGCTGACGGATAAAAAATACGGGATCGATAAAATATTATACAATGTAATCTGCATTGAGCTAGTCGCATCAATCACTGCCGCGATAATATACTAGATAGTGTGGCACGAACACTAAAAAAATAATAACTTCGAAATTAAAAACAGCGTAAACACGCAATGGAAATTCATCGTGCCAAAATGTCGACGCCTTGAATTATTCTTTGCCCTTTGCCTCTTCTAAATTCGAGCCGCGCACGTAAAAATCCTGAGAGAAAAAATATGATTTCAAAATTAGCCGACGCGGGAAGTGTCTCAATGGTCTAAACGCGAGAGAACTTTCAAATCCGCGATGACAATTCGCGATAATGCATTTCCAGAATAACGCATCCATTTGCATACTTCATATTTTTTGCGAAGATAGATTTTCATACGTTAGCATACTTGATTTCAAGACTCTGGCCATTTAGAATATATTTTAAGAAAATTATATTTCCTGACTTATATCGACATTCTCCATTTCTAATTTCCGATCGTGTGCATACGTATCTCTAAAAAGTGTATTTTCAAAGGTGGAACAGGATGCTATCTAGAATCTCGTCAAAATTTGAACGTTTCTCTACGTTATATTTACCCATACACACACTCAAAACACACACACACACACACACACACACACACACACACACACATGCACGCGCGCGCGCACGAGTACTCGCGTATTGTTCTATTATTAATGCGTTCTGAAATTCTGTCTTTTCAAGTTTTCTGATGATAACCGCAATCGTTACCGCTGAATAAAGCATTATTCTGATGTTTAAATTTTGCGAAGTTTTTTTCGGCATTTTCCACGTTGCTATAATTCCACGCTGCGTCTGACGGCAAATCCTTCACATTGATCGACATACACGTATGGCAACGGCGCAACGTACGCCAACCGTAATTTTCATTAGAGACGAGAGTATTCCAGCGTATTCGTCGCGTCCGCTTGCGTTTTCATAAGGCGGCTTATAAGCGGCCGCCTCGTCTAATGTTACAACGTGCAGAGACATAGAATCACGAGTAGTAGCCCATGTTCGCTGACATTAATTAGCAGGAAGGACAGCATGAAGCAACGAAATACTCTTCGCTTTTCTAACGCTGTTTTATTGATTCAAGCGAGAGCGAACGACTACATTTCTCTTTACATAAATTATCATATAATTATATTTTTTAGATACTGTATACTTAATATTTATAATATAATTATAGATATTGCTATTACAAGTGTATAACTTACGCTAT